GACGACCCCTGAAACAATTGTTTTAGTTTGCTTAAGTTTGCTTAAAATAAACATAACACAGCCAGGCATTTTCAATTAATAACAAAAGAAAATAAATACACTTGCAGTACTGTTCTTTGGAGCTCTTAATAAAAAAAAAACTACCAATACTATTTTCAGTCACAAAAATGAGACAAACTAACTGAAAGAGCAACTATCTGGAAGAGCGACTTTCTGGAAGAGCGATGCAAGACACAAATATTCAAATAATTTCATATTGTCCACATTAACAATATAGTGTCATGTTTACCAACTTTTTTAAGCCAATTTGATGGTTTTCAACTGTTTAATATTTTCTGTTAAAGTATATGTCTAATTATATAAAAGTAAATCACTGTGTTACCTTGATCCTGCCAGTCAGTCACCTTTTCTCTGTTTGAGATAAGAGTCTAAAGTCTGCGTATATTTATCCACACCTATCAAACAAATAAAGTTGGTTTTGACGTCACAACATTCAAATCTGCTCATTCTGTAAAACTAGAGGACAGAACAGATGCAAATGGAGAGTTTGGAGTTCAAGTTTTTAGATCATCACCACAAAATTGCATATAAGATTTGGTTGGAATTAAACACTAAAACATATTTTGTGTTTTACAGGTGACTACCCAACATGCTGTGGAGCTGTAAATACTGCAGCTGTGATAAGAGAGGTTACTACCTCAGACACTACAGAACACTAATTTCTTTCTTTTTTTTTTTTTTTTTTTTTTTTTTTTTTTTTTTTTTTTTTTTTTTTTTTTAGATTTGTCTGAAATTCAAAAGGATTGTGGGAAAAGACCTGCACCAGGAATTTTATTCTGCCCTTGATAACCACACTACCCATTTTATTGAAAGTTTTAAAGCTAAGAGGGGCAACGTGGGTGACAGTTGGCACAGCTTTTGCAGCAAATGCAGGTAAAACTTTTGTAACCCGGATAAAAATACATGTGCAGTAAAAGCATAAGTTCATAACATAGTTAATCTAAAATGGATAAAAAGATAATTAATTTTTATTAAAATACATAGTTCATGTTAATGATTAAATGTATATTTACAGAAGTGTTTGCGTCTCTGTATATTTCTTTTAACTTATCATACAGTATCCATTTTCTGTCTTACAGTCACTGGATTCTACTGAAAAAAGGACAGTCACACTAAGAGGGCTTCCTTACTTACTCGGAGACAATCCCACTGAATTCTTCAAATCTAGAAGCTTTGTAAGTGCACATTTTGTTTGTAATGTGAAACTTTTAGAATGTGACATTTATTGTATAATTTGAATATGCCAAAACTGACAAATAGTCTATACATTACGAGCTCCAGCCATTCCATGAATATTATTTATCTTAAAGTCAGATTATTATTGATTTTCAAATATTTGTTTGAACATTTGAAAATGCTTGACCAAATAGTTATCATGTCAGCATAAATTGAATTTCATACAATTTATGTTTTGTCATTCTTATTGAGTCTGTTGTAGTTCAGTAATTTCATTCACTAATGGTTATGTTTCTGGCATTAATTGTTTTGTTTTTCTTTAGGATGGTGATGAATCCTTTGGCCAAATGGACATTGGGATCTTGTTAGTAAATCTGAAGGTGTCTCTCTTCCAACACCAGATCTTCAGCTGCCTGAAAATCATCATTGAGGGTGAAATTGTTATGGACAAGCTGACAGCCCTTATAAGCCCTTGTTTGAATTGTGAAATGTAAAACACAAAAGCAAATGCTGTTACAGGGAACAAACAGAAGACTGCACTTTATTCAGGTTTAAGCATGTTACTTATTGCACTATTTTTGCAATAAATTTGTGAGAAAAAAATTGTCATTTTATGTCAATTATTTAAAAAAATATGATGATTTATAATTTGCATCTAATTATTATAAATAATAAACAATCAATAAATACTCATAAATATGAGAAATACATACTGATAAAAATAAGTAATGAT